TTTTTTTTTTTTTTTTTCGTTATTTTGTTACATAAAAATTGGTTAAAGAAGACCGAGGTGATAATAATAAAAAAAATAATAGTAATAAGCAAAACCTTAGAAATTATTGGGATACAAAATTTAAATGTTATAAGTATATCTTTGGTGCAATCTTTTGGTCATTTACTTTACCTATACTTCCACAACAGTTTACTGCTCTGTAAATCTTCCGAGTTGATGCTTTTGACGATGTACTGACTGCTGTCAGTTGCAATTAAACTGTTTCAAAGTTGCAAATTGAACAGAACAGATGGTCTTTCTTGGATGATTCAAAAAATCAAAAGCAAAAATTTTTTCGAAGTTTTTTGCTGTCTCTTTCTTTTGTTGTCAAATTATCGTTTTCTCCCTCGACACAAAGTTATCAAACTCAAACAACAAACTTTTTTTTTTTAATTTTATTATTTTGACTATTTTTTGTTGTAACAGATTAAAATTCAAAAAAAAAAAAAAAAAGAAAAGAAAAAGAAAAAATGAAAAGAAAAAGTACAAAAATTGTGTTATGAAAATTTCGCCAAAATTGGTTTTTTTATTTTTGTACATTTAACAACTAAAAAATACCTATCACTGGAGAGTTCCTCAAAATTTGTTGGCTTTTTTTTTTGTTTCAACTTATTTCAAAATAGCTATCGGCTATGCTATCAACGTAAGAAATATTTATTGGTAGAAAAAAATTTTATAGTCATATAATTGTATTTTTTGCTAACGACATATATCGATAATATTATGTAGACTTCAGAAAAAAAGATTAAAGAGAGCTCCATTTATCGATTATATTACTAATTATCGGAAGTTTTATTATTGTCATATTCCGATCGGCAACACTTTTTGGAACTAATCAGAATTCAAAACTTATGCATAGATGGTGTTCAGATCTGGTGTCTTACAAGTTGGTGATCGTGTTTTGGCCATAAATGATTGGTGTACAGCAGATGCAACTGTTGAAGAGGCCAGTAAACGGATTCGGCAATCGAGTAGCCCGTTAACACTTACTGTTGAATTCGATGTAATAGGTTGGTGATGCTAATTATCACTTAAAACTTTCTACAAATTTAATTGCTCACTGAGCTGATGTTGTTAAATTGGGTGAAAAATTGTTAAGAATGTCTAGTTTAAGCTTAGACTCAATTTTATTTATAGTTGAAATAAGCTAAATAATTTTACTTTTCTTTTCACTCAAAGTTATAAGTTATTATTTGCTCTATTTTGCAAGTTTTTTGTCTTTTACAATTTTTGGCTGCTATAGGAAAAATAAGCAGTGCAGAAAAATAAAGTTTCAGGGGAAAATATTTTTTTGCAGATACAGTTGCAAAAAAAAAAAAAAAAATTTACTTTTATCAAAAGTGGAATTTTTGTTTTTTTTTTGTTTTTTTGTGTGTGTGTGTGTGTGTTTGTTTACTGAAACTTATATAGGTTTTTGGTAAATTTTCTAGCTCAAAAATGTTATATATTAATGTCTTAGAAGATAAAAAGATCGGTTTTTATTCACAGTTACTTTTTCTTCTACATGTGACGTCAGTACCATTTTT